GGAGCCGTCACCGCCTCCGCCGTCCGCTCCGTCGGCCGCAGGAATCGCCGCCACCACGGAGAGCGCGTCCACTTCTGCGTGCGATGCGATTTCCCCATCGCAATCTACGGTCGTCTCGTAAGTAATTTCTCTAACCCTAGATTCTCAGGGTTTTTTCGTTGGATGTGTATTTGTTAAAGAGGAAAGGTTTCGGTTATGGTTTGAATGTGGAAGTAGAAAGGACGACTTGTTGTGCCTTATTTATGCAGCAGATACATTTAATTTGATAATTTCATTGAGTTTAGAGCTTGATGTGAGGAAGCAAATTGTCGTATACTTTATAGTGGCGGAGAATTAAAAGTTGCGATTTTGATGGTAGAATCGTGAGAATTAGAATCAAGCTTTTAGGGTTTTTGTGGAGTGTTTGTTTAAGAGGAGAAGTTCGGACTCGTAAGTTAAATAATTAACCTTAGATTTTTTTTTTGGCTTTTCTCGTTGGGTATTTGTTAAAGAGGAAAACAAAAACTTCCGAGTTTTTGCCAAAGAATGACCATTGTTTGTGCTTTATTTGCGTATCAGATCCATCTTTAGTGATAATTTCATTGATTTTAGAATTGATGTAAGGAAACAAGTTATTCTATTCTGTGTAGTGTTCAATTGAAAATTGTGATTTTGATAGTAGAATTGTGAGAATTGGTATCCTATAGCTTTAGGATTTTGTTGAGTATTTGTTAAATAGGAAAGCTTTTGGTTATAATTTGAATGTAGGAAGTAAAAAAGGACGATTTTTTGTGTTTTATATATGCATCAGATACGTTGATTTGTAATTTCATTGAGTTTAGAACTTGATGTGAAGAAGCAAGTTATCATATATTTTATTGTGGCAGAGAATTACAAGTTGCGATTTTGATGGTAGAATAGTGAGAATTAGGATCAAGCTTTTAGGGATTTTTGTTGAGTGTTTGTTTAAGAAGAGAAGTTCCGACTCGTAAGTTAAAATCTCTAACCCTAGCTTTTTTTTTTGGGTTTTCTCGGTGGGATTTTGTTAAAGAAGAAAACCCAAAGTTGAGTTTTTGTCAAAGAATGACCATTGTTTGTGCTTTATTTGCGTATCAGATACATTTTAGTGATAATTTCATTGACTTTAGAACTGATGTAAGGAAACAAGTTCTCTTTTTTCTAGTGTTCGGATAATTGGAAGTTGTGATTTTGATAGTAGAATTGTGAAAATTGGTATCCTATATCATTAAGATTTTGTTGAGGATTTGTTAAAGAGGAAATCTTTTGGTTATAATTTGAATGTCGGAAGTAAGAACTTGAGTATTTGTCAAAGAATGACCATCTTTAGTGATAGTACCATAGATTTTTTTAGAATTTACTGCTAATGTGTCCACTGCATTTTTTATTGCCATCAGTGACCGAATCGTAAGAAAACATTTGGCCCTAGCTCTTGAACTGTTCTTTGTTGGTGTTCTGGGAACTCAAAGTTGTGTTTTTGATAGTGGAGTTGTGGGTTTTGGAGTCAAGTATTTGTTGAAGAAGGGAACTTTTGACTTTAATTTGAATGTAGGAAGTAAGAAGTAAAGAATTGGTCTAAGAAGTATTTTCTGTGCTTTATTATGCATCAAATGCATTTTTACTGGTAATATCATTGACTTCAGGACTTACACGAGAAAGCAAGTTAATCCTATTCTAGTATTCTTTATAGCGTGCTGAGAATTAATAAGTTGCAATTTTGGTTATAGAATGATAAGAATTGGATTAAAGTTTTTAGGGTTTGGGCTGAGTGTCTCTCGAAGCAGAAAATTTTCTACTTTATTTTGAATGTAGAAGTAAGAAGTTGTCTGAGAAGAACCATCATCTGTCCTTTATGTATGCAGAACATGCTTTTTTATTGATAATATCATATATCTCAGAATTCACTCAAGGAAGCAAGTTATCCTCTTATTTATAGTGTTGAGAATTAAAAAGTTGTGATTTTGGTGACAGCATTATGAGAGTGGGATCAAGTTTGTAGGGTTTTTGTTGAGTATTCATTGAAGAAGAGATATTTCTACACCAATTTGAATGTAGGAAGTAGGAAGTACAGTATTTGGCTAAGAAGAGCTAGTGCATGGTTTTTTATTTATGTGTCAGATACCTTTTTACTAATAATTTCATTGATTTTAGAACTGATGTGAGGACGCAAGTTATCCTATTCATTATAGTGTGATGAAAACTAAAGAGTTGCAATTTTGATGACAGAATTGTGAGAATTGGAATCAAGCTTTTAGGATTTTCATTGAGTGTTTGTCGAAGAAGAAAACTTTGAGCTCTAATTTGAATGTAGGAAGTAAGAATTAGAGTATTTGTCCAAGAAGAGCTATTGTATGGCCCTTATTCCAAGGTTTTAAATATCGGATGTCGGGTTCATGTCGCTCGGCCAAAATTCATGTCGGATAGCGGAAATCGGGGATATATCGGGGGACATGAAAAAAATATCGGATTGCCATATGGATAGGTTGATATAATATCATAAATGGAATCTTCACATACTTGATAATTATATTGTCTAAACATATGAAAAAGTACATATGAGAAGGGTCTTCATTTTCACAAGCAACCACCAAGTTTTTGCTTTTGCATAGAAAACCAAATAGACACTAGAACAGCTTAACTGCATATGTTTAGACAATTCTTATTAAAGTATAATAATTATCCAGAATATAAAAATTACTAATACAATTCTTTATACACAACTTTATTTATTAATGTAAAGATTTATTAATTGTTTAATTTAAGAATTTATGTTATTATAAAAGTCACTTCATAATTTTACACTCAAAGAAAAAGCTTACAAAAAAAAAATGTTCACATACAAAAAGCGTGCATTATACTAGTAGGAACAAAAAGAAAATTCTACTGAAATTAAAAATTAAACTCGTAATTGCTATTCTAAACTACTTAACTGCATCGACTAACAATTGCAGGATTTTTATTATATATCTGTCATTTCTCCAAACAAGAAAAAAACCGAAGTATATGTGCAACTAATACAAATAAATTCATGTGTTCTTATAGCCTTCCATTATAAAGAAAACACATGCAATAACAAGTAATTAAAACTTACAGCAAGCACCCATATGGGTAGTGGATAGGAAACAATGTGAAACTTTACATAAATAGAAGGTGAAAGATATTGCAAATCATATGATTTCAACATGTCAATGTGAAACTGATATTTCTGAATTTTGGCCGATATTTGATGGCCGAAATGCCGCCCGATATATCCGCTATTTTCCGACATGTCCCCGACATGACTTCAAAAACGCCATACGCATTAAATTCAACAATTTCGTGGCGGCTAGGCTCCGAATCCGCAATATCGGCCGCCATGTCCGACATGGCGGCCGATATTTAAAACATTGCCTTATTCACGTGTCAGATACATTTTCACTGGCAATTTCACTGATTTTAGAACTGATGTGAGGAGGCAATTGACTTGTGCGCATTTGAATCTAGTTCTATTCCACTGATTTTAGAACTGATGTGAGGAGGCAATTGAATTGTGAACATTTGAATCAAGCTTCATCCTTTCCATTAGACTTGTTGATTCTCCCTTTACTTAGGCCTAGGGAGATTTAGTGTTTCCCTTTTATTAAATGTATGTGAAGGTTTATATTAACCCTTTATATAGCGTCATTAGCGTGTATGTGTCTATGCCCTGCACATGAAAATCTCTAGTAGAATAGAAATTATGATGCCATGACAATGGTATTATGTGAGTTTACTCTGATTTTTTGGGTAGGGTTTATTGTGCTTAGTTGAAAAGTGGATCTCATATTTTATACATATGCACTAGAAGCTCATTTAATCAATAGCTAGGAGACTGCTTTGGATGCCAACAGATTTATGTAGTCCAATGGTAAAGGAGGTTGATGGAGGTGTTGGTTTTATCAAGAACACAGTCATAAGTCCAGTTAGCCTTAGGCCCTTAGTTAATGTTGGATTTAAGTTAGCCTCGAACTTGAGTTTTAAATAATTTCAAACTTAGTTTTTTCAACAATCTTGTTATTTGTTTTGCATTGGTTTTATAATCTTCAGATTTTATGGAGTAACTTAGGGTTAATTTCAAGCACAAAAGTCTAGATTAGATTTATTTTAGATTTTATAGGACATTGGATATAGTTGTGATATTGGAAATATATAAACAAAAGTCAATGATGAAATGATAAATACACCATCTATGTATTCCACAATTTAAAGAAATTTGTAGTTGAAGCCTGTGGATGTTGGTTTCTTCTAAACCAGCAAGTGCTTAGTTGTGTTTGGTCTGCTTACTAAATTACTTACATTATATCGCAGTCTTTAAGTGTGTTAATATCTAGTGATACTCCACAAGCACTGCTCTTTTGTTATCTATGCATATTAACTTGATTTTATTTGATTTCTCTTGCATGTTAGCCTTAATATTTGAAATGTGTGTGCTTTTAGGTGGAAAGTCTTAGATAAAATGTCTTCCCTTCCTGCATATGCTATCAGCTAAATTTTTTTGACTGTAAAAACTCTTATGTGACGTGTACCTTCAATTTTTCGTGAATCTTCTCGAGTTGTTACTATGGTTTAACTGACAGAAAATAATCTCAGTACTGGGGCCTTTCTCTACTCTATTGGGTGTTTGGTGGCTGTCTTTCTAGATACATTTTGATATTAAAAGTTGAATTAATTATAAAGTACATATAATTTGTTTTCTATCTGTTGAGCATTAACTTTTATTCTTTTATAACTTCTTCTTATTCTTTTCAGGTGCCTTGTGAACACGCTTTCTGTCTGGCATGTGCGAGGACTGATTCTAGTTGCCATATGTAAGCATTCTCCATCATTTTTTGAACTGTTGGAATGAAAAGTTTGTTTGCAACCTTAACTGATAGATGCTCTGCTTATCTTATAAGACTGTTAGATTGTGGAAGAACTTGTGTTACTGTCACTAGTAAATCGTTAATCAAGATTAATCTAATATGACAAATTATTATTTCATTATCCACTTTAAATACTTGATCAAGTAGGCTAAATGGTTACTAATAGTCAATTTAATATTATACTTTGACATGTTTCAAAATTTCATATTCTGCTTCTGATCCTGAGCTTGATAATGATTGTTTAGCCATGATGTGTGAGAGTTAATTTTTTATCTCAAATAGTAGTTCATGTGTGATGATTGAGCTAGTGGCAAGATACGGTTTCCTCGTTTCTGTTGGAATTTTACCTTGTACAAATTGTGAAAATTAGACACATTTTTTAATGTATTGGATATAACCCCAATGTGCCTTGTGATGCTAAAGAGAGTACAGACCGTTAGGTTGTGATGCTAAAGAGAGAGTACAGAACGTTAAGAATTTTCTTTTTAGCGTAGAAATTTATTTTGACTAAATAACCAAAGACATAGTTGTCGTTACCATGTTCCCAGTGTCTAGTACGAGCATTTTATTTATTTTTTGAGTTCTACACTTGCCATAGACTGTTACTCTTTGTATGCAACACATCAACTGGAAAAAGTTACCCCTTGACACAGTGAAGATCTCATATGGATGTGCGGAGTGTGCTGAGTTGTTATAATAGTATATTGTTATGGAGTATGGCGGTGCAGGTTCCTTTTACTCATATATCAGTTAGTGCTGCTGGCATTTTTGCAGTGGAATGGCTAGACAATTGCCATAAGAAAGTAATTTTTGCACCCTGCATACACTTCTTGTACCCTCTGACCATGATCAATGGTAGTCCCTTTTATCAGAACATATCTTTGACTTTGAGAGGACTTTGGTGGATAGTTAGATGTAAATCCTATGTTGCATGGACAAAATACCCTACACTTGTTGAACCTGTACTGGCCACTGACACTCCTTGAATATACATGCATACATTTATTCAGATGTGTACTCAATTATACAGTATATGTTCTACTTTGAAACGCGCATTGTATACTTCTTGAATGCATATCGTACAGTTCACATTCACTTTTTGAAACTTGTCATCATACTTATTTCAAATCTATGATTTAAGAGGGTTATTTGTGTATCAAGTTAAAAAACAAACTGTTTTGCTATTTATAACATACATACTTAAAATACATAAAAATGTTATAGAGAATTTTATTCTCATAACACGTGAATGTAAAAAACAATATTGATCTTATGTAAAATATTAATTGCAACACACACACAAAAGAATAACTTGTCAATTGAGGGGATATTCTCAGATGACCTGTTCCAATTTAAACCAAGATAAAGCGAAAAGAGAATCCGTTTTGCAACACTTGGTTGAGATTATGCCACATTATTGTATTTATATATGAGGGAATCCCCCCATATGACATGATATCCATTAACCTCTCTCATTATTATATGAATTGAGCTAGGCTACTATCAATAGTATCCAAGATGTGGATACTATTAATTCATTTTGACAATTTGGATTTTCAAATTGAAGATCTATACTTCGGTCGTGGTCTACTATGCATTAACTATCTAGTATCTAGAAATAAAATTTTGAAAAGTTTCACTATGTTTTAGCATGTGTCATATGCCATGACAATCAACATTTCAAAATTTTCACAAAGTTGCTTAATCTTTGGTCCATTGATTCATGATTCGAGACACGATGTAAGCATTCAATATTTTGTTTTTAGGTAGTCTATGCGTGTCCCATAGTACAAATTTCAATTTGGAGATTCAAATTGTATTGATGAGTTGATAGTATCCACATCTTGGATACTATTAATAGTAACCTAACTATACACACACACACATACATACATACAATGTTTTACTTATCGGCCGATAAACCGATATTATTGGCGATTTATCGGTTTTGGGGGTCTTCCGCTATGATAAATTTGATTCTAAATCGGTTGTTGTTTTTAGATGTTTATCGCCGATAATACGGCGATAAAGTGAGTTATTGGCCGATGTTATCGGCCAAAAATTTGAAATTATTGGCCTTTGATTTGAGTTTCTATTTCGGGTAATGAGTACCTATTCAATGCACTTCAAGCTCAACCCGCCCTGAGTTTCTACCATTGGTTAGTGATACTAAACATAATTATTTACATTTTGGTATGTTTATATTTCATTAAGTATGGTTATATTATATTTTAGAATATTATATTATGTATATCATCATGGTAATGTCACTCCGATAAATACTATTTATCCCCGATATCCGATATTCGCTATCCCCGATAAAACGTAGCTGTACTCTACCTTTTAACAAATTTGCCATAACTGTATGCGCACCTGTGTACATGCAATGTAAAATGTAATCAATAATAGTTGATAATGATGAATAGCTATTGTTTAGAAAATTTGGATCTGTTTCGATCTCGAATCTAGCTTTAGCTATTAGCAAACAACAGAATGTGTGCTTTTAGATAGTTGGATGGGTGAGAGTGGTTGGTTTTCTATTCGTTTTTCTGGGACGTTAGAAATAGCCAAATAGGTTTTCATCCATGTCCTAGACTCCTAGTCTTCCTCATGTTCTTAGGGTTGAATATGCTCAGCATGAGTATGAATTGAAGTTGGATAAGTAATGTAGATAATTGTGGACTATCAATCAAAAGGTTTTAGAATTTACTATAATCTTTTTTGTTTTAGTAATATTTGATGCCACTACTCCATTGCACTCGATGTGTGCCTGACACAATACATATTTGTGCGAAATTAAAAAAAAAAAAAATCATTGTCGTATCTTTTGTAATTGTCGTATCTTTTTTAATATAAATAGGTGTGTAAAAAATATTATTGTGGTATCTTTTTTGCATAAAAAACGTCAGGTATCAAAGTTAAATGTTGACTTGGGGTAGAAAAGTTAAAAATGAGTTTAGCTTTGAGGTATTTAAGTGCAAATCACCTGTTCAAAAGTAGCTAATAATTTTCTATTTTGGGGTTTGATAGAAATAAAGGGTAGCCTAGTGCACGAGGCTCCTACCTTATGTTACACGGGTACTTTTAATATGAAGCCGTAGACGTACCCGACATTACCCATACCCCAACTCCTTGGACACTTCTTGCATATATGCATACGTTTATTCGGGCGTGTTCTCAATTATGCAATACATGTTTTAATTTAAAACACTTGTCATATAGTTTTTGGACGTATATTTTACACTTCACATCTACTTACTGAAACTCATTGGACATAGTAGAAGTTCGAATTATGATTTTAAAAGGTCGTATGGATGTCTAGTTTAAAAACTAGTGATTTTCCAATATATAAACACATAATAAAAGAGACGTCAAAATGTCATAGGAATTTTGATTCTCATCCTTATTCTCATATAAATTATTAATTCCAATATATAACATATGTGATATTAATATGTTTATAGTCTTGTCCTCGTATCCTATATTTTACAATTTTGCCATGTCCAGTACTCGTACTCGTACGTGTACCCATGCAACATAGCTCTCACCATTATGGGCTTTGGAGAGGGTCAGATGTATGCAGCATTACCCTTGTGTAGGGAGATATTGTTTCTAATATTTGAACTCGTGATCTTCAAATCACAACGCAACAAGTTTACCATTGTGCCAATGCTCACCATATGGGGTTTGATAGAAATGAAAATAAAGCCCGTGATGTGTACACTTCGTTTAAAGGTATTTGTGTAAATGAGGACTGAAAGAACAAACAATGTGCATAATGCCACAATGAAAATACAGAGGATTTCTACTTCAAATCACTTAAGATATAGTGAAGAGTATGATTCACTTGAAGTAGTAATTTTGAGAATAAAACATTGGGTTCTTTTCTAAATTATTTTCTTTGAAGATGCTCTAACGATGCCAAAAATTAGTAAGAAACATACATTGGAAATAAAACTCCTGAAGAACCTGAAAACTTTAGATGATCTGAATCTAAATGGTTTGCTGTGAAAAAATAGTAATTCTACAAATTGAACTGTTACGAAGTGATTTAACCCATTGCTGTCGCGAGGGAACTCAACGTGGTCTTCACATAGCTATGTCGCATGCCTTACAGTCCACTCTCGACCTGCAAATTTTTAATTCGTTCTCTATCAATTTCAAAATTTAAACAAATGGAGATTTTTAGACCTAATCTTGTGCACCGTAGTCATTAAATCCCGACTTATTGAGGATTGAGAAGAGGAGGAAGTGTGAAGGTGATAATCGATGATGAGATGGAGAAAAAAGGGCCAGTTTAGTGTTTGAGAATTTGTAGGCGGGAGAGATGTTTGTAAAGGTTCTTATTTGAAGCATTTAAAATATGGACGTGGGTGAGTGATTTGAACTTGTGATCGAGATTTTTCTAAAGCCTATTCTCTTAAAACCCCACTTATCTTAAATTTCCTTGCCTTAAATCTTTGCCATTCATTTAAACTTTTCATCAAATCACAACCCTCCATTTCCCATCTCCAAATACAAGCCCAAATGTGTTTTGTGTGGTAGGTACTGTTTGCAATCAGTAACCTGTTGTTCCTGTTTTTACTGTTCACGCAAATGGCGACTCACCGACCAGCCTTCCCCATCATTTTTTGATGATGCCAACACCTCGCTGATGCACTCGAGCCCTCCACTGCTTTCCAATGATGTTCCCTTCTAATCTGACTAAAACCCTATGTTACCCGGGTACTTCATTATTGAAGCCGTACCCGTACCGGACAGGTACCCGACACTTTCCCGTATCCAAACTTCATGGACACTTCTTGAATATATGCATGCATTTATTACAACATGTACTCAATTATACGATATATGTGTTAATTTAAAACACTTAGTCAAAGAGTTCCTGGACGTAGAGCTTACACTTCACATCCGTCTTTTGAAACTAATGGGATACGGGTCGGGTTCGTTTCAGTCCATACCCAAGTTCAAAACTATATAGTTAATGGGTCGTTTAGATGTCTAGTAAAAAAATGAGTAGTTTACAATTCACGATAATCAATATGATAAAAATAAACTCAAAAATGTGATCGAAATTTTAATTCTAATGACACATGAAGCGGAAAAAATTATCTCATGTACATTATTAATTCAATATATATATATGTAGTCGTGTCCCCGTACCCAACATTTTACAGTTTTGCCGTGTCCCCTACCCGTACCCGCACCCGTACCAGTACCCGTGCCCGTTTCCATGCAACTTAGCTAAAACCCCTATAACGACCTCTGATGAGCTCTTGAGATTTGCTTTATTATCCTTATCGTCAGATTTCTTCTGATTGGCTTCCGATACATTATGCTGTCAGTCCATCAAGCCATCAATGATTCCTTTCCTCCAATGAAGCTCTATCGAGGCCTTACAACACCGTCTGAGGTTCATTTAGCCTCAATCATATCCAAACATGGTTGTGGAGAGCTATTAAAGACTTCACAATCTGCGTGCTCCTTTCACATTCCGATCAAGTTCGAATAGTTGCCAAAGTTTGCACAATCGAGAATCTCAAACTTTTGGATTGGGTCTAGATAGGTATTGAAGGCATCATATTTGAGAGCCTCCTTTTGGACGGAGCCTCTGCCATGATCCTCATGAATAGGCAATCAAGTAATCAAAGTGGCCGGATTTTCCATCATAACTGCACCCGGTTTCATCTTAAAAAATATGGATGGGAACTTATATGAACGATTTATCCTTTGCATCTTGGGAAATCTGGACTCCAATTTCAGCAAGGAGAATGTTGATCTCGTTGCAGTCCTGTAGACCCCCTGTTTTGCTTACTCCGATCCTATGCAAATGTTTTGGAAAGACCGGATGTCCTTACTGGAGTTTAAATATCTTATTACTTTCTTTCTGTTGTTATTGAGACTGAGGAGTATGTCATCACTTTATAATTATACTGTTAAAGTTTTTATTTCTGAAGAAAATTCAACTAATTGAGGAGAGAGATGGTCTCTAACGCCAGGGGCATACCCACCTTGGAGGAAGTGGTGTCAGGTGTTATTACCTTCCTCCAAGGTGGTGGCGAAGAACCAAGGTGAATTGAATGATTGATTGACAAAATGAAGTAAGTTCTTGGATTTCATAAGGCAATTAAAATTTCTTACTTTCTCTTAAGGTCAGTTATGTTACATGATGCGAAATAATGAGTTATATAAAGAGTTTTTTTCAGCAATAATTTCTTGTTTTCCCTTAGAGATTGGTCCTTCAGATGTATGGATCCCAATATCATTTTTTAGTTCTCTGGCAGAGTACATGACCTAGTGAGTTTCTACCTCTTGTCTTGGTGACAGAATATCGAGTCTTCACTCTATTTTAATACAAGAAGGTTCATGCGAAAATTGCCCCCTATAGCAAGGTTTTAAATGTCGGCCGATATGTCGGTTTGAGGGCTTGAGCGACCCGACATGGGCGTTTTCAACTCGTATGTTGGTTTTCAGGGTCAAATCGGAAATATCGGGGCCATATCGGGCATATCGACCGATTTTTCAGCCTTAAAAATCGGCTGATATGGCCTTTTTTTAGATCTGTTTTTTGTTATCGGGTTTGGGTTTAGTGATAGAAACCCAAATCTGTTTGACTCGTTCTCATGTTTAAGAGTTTCTTATGAACCCGATAGAAAGAAAAAAGAAAAATTAGGGCTACAACGGACTTGGGAACTGATCACTCCTTTCGTGAACGACGACGCCCTTCCCCCACCTCCATCTCTCCCCCCTGTCGTCCATCTCCCGTTGCGCCCTGAAATCCGAACCCCAACCGAACCCGAGGGCGGCAGGGTATCTCGTCGTCGGGATAAAGGAAAGAGGGTGGTCGATGACTCATCTAAGGACCTCGAGCAGACGAAGAAGTAGAATCCCTGCGACGTTGGAATCCACCCATCGTCGGCGCTACCTCTAGAATTTATGAAGTATGCTTATATTAAATTTAGGAATGCTTAAATTACAATTAGGACATGATATTATACATATGTGCACCACTCGATATGGCAATCCGATATTTAGTCTATGTCCCTCGGTATATCCCCGATTTTCGCTGTCCGACATGGATTTCAGCCGTCTGACATGAACCTGACATTCGGCATTTAGAACCTTGCCCCGTAGGAGGAATGTACAATTTTCTTCTGAGTTCTGTCTTTATTTTTAAAATTCTTAAAATCACATGCTACAAAAGGAAGTCTTTATTGTCAAATTCTTAAAATCACACGCTATAAGGGAAAATTTTCTTCTATGAGTTCTTCTGTCTTTATTTTCTAAACTTTTAAAATCACATGCTGCAAAGGAAGTCTTTATTTTCAAATTCTTAAAATTGCATGTTATAAGGGGAAACTTTCTTCGATGTGTTCTGCTGTCTTTATTTTCAAATTCTTCAATCACAGCTGTAAGGGCCCCAAACACTAACAGTTGTCTGGGAGATCTGGAAATCCATGTTCTTCTTTGGAACAACTTGACTGGAGCTGCATTTTACCCCTTCAGAAATAAATTGTTAAATAGCTAGACGCATAGTCTGTATATTTCTTAGTTCATAATATGAGGGGACGTGAGGATGTCCTTTTTCTGTGGAAAGTGCATCTTTGACCTCTTCATCTTTAGAACTTTAACAAGTTCAATGAAATCCGTTTCAGTATTACTTTCTGTTTCAGTTGGTTTGCAGAAATTTTTAAAAAGATACCCAGTCATTCCAATTCTTTTCAACTTTTCTTTTAGCATTCTTGCTGCCCTTGTTGCACGCAATTTTATACACCTAAGTATCACATGTCTACTAAGTATCATATGTCTTGTCCCAAGTCATTTCTTTTGAACTGTAATCTTCATTTTTTTTCCTGGTCATCTTTTTCTAATCTTTGCGCTTTGGTTTTAATCTTTTGGTCATACTATTTTTAAATTCTTTTATCTGACTACTATCCTGAATATGATTAGTAAAGCTTGAAATTTCCCTGTCACAGATTATTCGACTCAGGAAAATCTGATCTTTAGTTAACATTTATACAGGAAATGTTTTGTTAGGCTTTTTTTTCCATCATACATGGATACCATCCATCTTGTGGTAGTGACCTAATTGATATGCAATCAAGTTGACGTAGAGACATACTTCAGTACATAATGAGAATTTAGTTAAGCAAAATTAGGTTTTGGCATTGTGTTTAATGCACAAATAGCCTTCTATCTTATTTTGAATAATTTAATGTTTACTTTAAGCACTTACCTTGGAAGAGATATATCATAAAAGATAGTGAATCCAAAAATTATGCTGCAAGCTTATTATATCATGATATTGGTCTCGATGTTCCATTTCTTCTTCAAAATTTTTTTATTGTTGTTATTTATTCTTCTGTTCTATTTTGTTCAGCTGTGACGAGCGCATTCAGAAAATTCAGACAATTAAACTTATGGAGGGGATCTACATATGTGGTGCTCCACACTGTCTCAAATCTTTTCTCAGGAGATCTGACCTCGAGGCACATATCAATGAGGCTCATGCTGACCTTATACGCCCAAACATAGAGAAGGAGGAAGCCAACGACAACAATGCCCTCAACACCGCCAAACCCTCATCAACTGATGCTCAGAAACAATCCCAGCAGCCAGAGGTTTCCACTGCCCGAGCTCCTCCCAAGCCATCAGCCTTCTCACCGAGCGCAAACTCCCAAGACCAAGATCGGGAAGAAAGGGCCCGCCGCCATCAGTCAAGAGATCCATCGCCGAGGCCTCAGCTACAACCAAACCCGCCACAATTCCAAAATCAGCAACAGACGCAGACTAGCGATTTTCCTGCAGAAAACCAACCTCAAAATTGGTTTCCTCAACCCCCTACTCTCCCCCCTTTTCAGCAAAACCCTGACCAGTTTCCTATGAACTACCCTTTGCCTTATCCTGTTCAATTTCCAACCGATGGATCTCAGCCTCTTTACAATGTACCTCAAGATTCAAATCAGGGTTCTGTACTAGGCGTTCAACCGTCTCCCTCGGCAATAGGAGGTTTTCCGAACAATTTATCTCAACAATGGGCGATGGGGTTTATGAGCGTTCCTCTGCAACCTCTACACATGAATAACCCTCAGTTTCTGCAAGGAGAAGGGATGACTATAAATCCTCAGATTCAAGGTAAAGAGTCGGATCAGCAGCCACCACCGCCCCTGCCTCTTACGCCGCCACCAGCCTTAGCTCATCAGCAACAACAGCAGATTAATAGGAACAGAGATTTCCCCCCAGGATTTGGTTGAGAGAATGGCTAGGTTTTATTGTTGGTCTCGAATAATATTTTCGTTTTGGTAGTGGTTGGACCGTGTCTATCTTTTTAGCTCAGCTTGCTCGTCTATGGTTCTTTTCAGTGTCTTTGCTGTGAACCGTTAAGGTTGATCTTGTGGTTCGCCGGGCTTCCAAGTTTTTTCTTGATGCGGTGCCGTTTCGTCTAAATTCGATCTATTTGATACGATTGCAAAGGAAAAAAAGGCTTGCTTTTAGATTGTGAGCGAAACTAAGTCAAGTCACAATGAATGTGCCTGCTCTGTCTAACTCATCAAAACACGATCGACCTCGATCCGGGAAAACTGGGTTCGCTAAAACCTTGAAAAGTTTCTAAGTATTGTAAAAACCCTGAAAAGTTCATTAGTTGTTGTAAAGTTAGCAGTAACTCAGGGGTGGCAAACGGGTTGGGTTGGGTCAATTATGATCTGACATGTTTAATAATCGAGTTGCGAACGGGTTGGGTTAGGTCAATTATGATCTGACCCGTTTAATAATCGAATCGAACAATTTATTAAATGGGTATCTCATAGCTGACCCGTGTGGCCCTGTTTAGTCACTAAGGATCTTAGGAGAGCCATATTTACAGGAAAGGGTGGTTTATACCCAAAGATAAAAATGAGAAAATTTATAAACGAGCCCTTCAACCACCCTTCAATGATATAGACCACCTCTTTCTATGTGGATGTTACTAATAAAATCTTTACTCCTATTTAGTAACATTCTCTCTCTCTCTCTCTCTCTCTCTCTCTCTCTCTCTCTCTTATTTTTTAAATTCTCACTTTTGATTGAGTATACGTAGGCCTGTCCATCCGGGCCGAGCCGGCCCGGCTCGGCCCGGGCCGGGCAAAATCGGAGCCCGGACTCGGACCCGGGTACCCCGGGCTGGGTCCGGGCCGGCCCGATTTACTTTCTTTTTTTTATTTTTTTTATCAAATTTTTTTAATTTTATTTAAATTTTAAATTATAAAAAAAAGATAAAAAATTAATAAAAAAATAATAATTTTATTAATCACTTAAAATGACATAAATTACAAATAAAAAATTATAAAAATAAATTCTTTATTAATAATTAATAAATCATTTACAAATTATAAGTATAAATTTATTTTGAAATTCATCGCATCACAATAGATAAGTACATCCCAACTAGGTTTTTTTTAATTTCTTTTCTTTTCTTTATTTTTTTGATAAAAAAATACTAAAAATTAGTTTAAATATATTGTATATATTTATAAGTTATAACTTGAGAGAGAGAGAATCGCATAAGTAGCCGTTGCCCGTTAGGCCAATGGGGAAGAAGTAACCGTTGTAATATACTATACTTATATATACTTATATACTAAGAGAGACAGTATACACACACACACACACACACATTATACATATATAAGAGAGAGTATACTTATATAAGAGGGAGTATACATATATAAGAGAGAGTATACTTATATATACTAAGAGAGAGAGAGAGAGAGAGTATATTAGTATATATATATATATATATACACACATATATTATACATATATAAGAGAGTGTATACTTATATATACTTATATAAGAGAGAGTATATATATACACACATATGACATATTATACATATATAGAAATATATTATATATACATATATTATATATATACATATATTATACATATATAAAAATATATTATATATACATATATTATACATATTATATATATTTATATATACATCTATTATACATATATAATACTTATAAAAAATATAAAAAATTCACTATTCCAGGCCGGGCCGGGCACCAAAGAGCCGGCCCGGGCCCGGCCCGGAGCCCAGACTTGGCCCGGGTTTATGTACTCCAGAATTAACGATTTTTATAATTTTTTATTCAGAATTCAAAAAAATTAAGTAGAGTTCAAAATTCACGATTTCATGAGCTATAATCCACAATTTTTTTTCCATTTTAGATCGTTTCGACCTTGTGACAACTAATTAGAGGGAGCTCAAATTCGACGATTTCGTGAGCCATAGACCATGATTGTTGTCAATTTTTATTTATTTTGATCCAAAGATAAATAATTTTACAGAGTTCAAAAAATTACAATTTTATGAGCTAACCCATGATTTTCTTTCATTTTCGTTCATTTTGATCCATGCCAAACCATTATGTAAAGTTCAAAATTCATGATTTCAAAGCTATAACCCACAATTTTTGTTCATTTTGACCAAATGACAAATAATTATGCAGAGTTACAAATTCACTATTTCATTATATAGCCCATGATTTTTTGTTTATCTTTGTTCATTTATACCAATGGAAAATAATTAAACGAAGCTCAAAATTCATGATTTTCACAAGTTAACCCACTAACTTTTTTCAATTTTCTTCTTCTCGACCAAATAGCAAATAATTATGTAGAATTCCAAACTTATGTTTTCAAGAGTTATAACCCACAATTTTTATTCATTTTCATTTATTTTGACCTAATGATAAATAATTAAGTGGAGTTCAAAATTCATAATTTCATGAGTTATTAGCATAATTTTTGTTCATTTTCGCTCTTTTCGACACATAGCTAAATAGTTAGGCAAAGTTCTAAATTTATGATTTCATGAGTTATAACCAATAATTTTTGCCTATTTTCATTCATTTTGACACAACGAAAAATACTTTACAGAATTCAAATTTTATGATTTCATGAGCTATAAGCCATGATTTTTTGTAAATTATTATAGGTATCTAAAAATGCCTATAGGTGCCCGCACGCAGCTCGAGACGAAGAGAAGCCGATGAACGCCATCATCCGAGTCAAGAAGGATTATCCGAGTGGCCCGCGGCTTGTCGGCCAGTTCCAAATGCCCGCCACACTTGTCGTTCAGTTTCAAGTGCCGTAAAGAAGCTAACGAGCGCATGAAGCAAGTTAGCGAAGCGTACAAGTCAACAGGACGACCAGATACGTAAAACAACAGAAAATACAAGTCCCGGAAAATCGTAAAGTGTCAAAGAGTTCAGCCAAGGCCAAATTTCCCACGCCAACGCAGGACATCAGCAGCTGTCTCGTGCCAACGTGGGTTAGCAGTAGCTGACCCGCATCCTCCGCGGGTTAGCAGGACCTACCGCGCAGTCTTGATCCTCAAAAGCGTTTTTGATAGGTTTTTTGTTGTTTTCTCGGGATTTGTTTGTTCCCGAGTGTCTCAACTGCTTGAATATCATCCATAAATATGATTAGACCGTTATTAACTAAAGATAGGATCAAATCATTCATTCTTATCAAAATACCCTATAAATATAAGCCTAAGACCTCCATCTTACGGGGGCGAATTATTATCAAGACGAGGAGGTGCTGCCGAGTTAGAGAGCAAGCGAGCAAGCGAGCACAAATTTTAGAGGAGGCTAGCTAGATCCTGACGAACTTCGGCATAAAGAAGGAGTCTTTCGAAGGATCTGAAGCCTCGTCCCCCTTTCCTTGAGATTATACTTGGTCTTAATCCCGAGAAGAGTACTGATTTCGCTTGGTCGATATCAGTACTTTAGTGAATACTTCCTTGGTAAAGTAGGAGCTCTGATCAATTATTCTGTCAACCGGATCCGATCCGTAGGCGGTCCACGGATAAACCCCGACACATGCAAAGATCCTACGCAAACAGAGACTAATAAATAGGATTCGTGTGTTGTTTGAAGGAGATTGTAATTTTTATTTTCATTGTGTAAAGGTCTTATAAAAAGACCAATCTTTTTAAAGTTGTTATAACGATCAAAGTTGTAATGAGTTATACAATGAAGAAAACAATTTCAGACCCAAACAGTTATAACCCACAATTTTTGTCTATTTTTGTTCATTTTGATACAATGACAATTAATTAAACCAAGCTCAAGTTCACGATTTATGAGCTGTAAGCCATGATTTTTGCTCATTTTTGTTTATTTTGATCTAATGATAAATAATTATGCATAGATCATGTTTCAATTTTTCATAAGATATCCATGATTTTTGTCTATTTTTGTTCATTTAGACAAATAGAAATTTTGTAGAGTTTAAAATTCACAATTCATGAGCTATAACAAATACATTTTTGTCCATTTTTTATTCACTTTGACCAAATTATAAATAATTAAGTAGAGGATAAAATTTACAATGTCATGAGCTACTAACTATGATTATTGTGAATTTTAAACTCTACAAAATTTCATGAGCTATAAACTACGGTTATTGCCCCTTTTTTTTCATTTTGACCTAACATCAAATAATTAACTGGGGTTCAACATTCAAGATTCCATGAGCTATAGACAATCTTTTTTTATTTTTTATTTCGACCCAATGGGCAAATAATAAAGGAGATTTAGGAATGAATGATTTTCTAGAGCAATAACCCCTAATTTTTGTCCATTTTCGTTCATTTTGATCCATTGGCATACAAATTTGAGAGTAGAATTTCACAATTTCATGTGCTATTATCCATATTATTTATTTATTTTTATTCGTTTTGACCCAAGAATAACTAATTATGTAAAATTTGAAATTCATCATTTTTGTGAGCTATAACTATGAAAAGGTCTCGACCCAATGTCAAATAATTATGTTGAGCTCAAAATAAACGATTTCATGAGCTATGTAACCTACAATTTTTATCTATTTTTGTTCATTTTGACAAAAGATAAATAATTTTGTAGAGCTTGAAATTCATAATTTCATAGTCTATAACTCATTATCTTTTTTATTTTTATCGTTTCAACCCAATGGATGTAATTAAGTTAGAGTTCAAAATTCACAATTTTCTTGATCTATAATCTATGAATTTTTTCCATTTTTGTTTATTTCAATCCAATGCAAAATAATTTAGTGGAGTTCAAATTCATGCAAGATAATTTAGTTGAGTTCAAAATAATGGTTTTATGACCTATAACCTATGGTTATTGTCTCCTTTTCTTTGTTTAAAACCAATGGTAAATAATTTTGTGGATTTAAAAATTTATGATTTTATAAGTTATAACCAACGATTTTTGTTCATTTTCATTTATTCAGACAAAATTTGCAAATAATCACTTTTCATTCATTTTTATTCATCTCGATCCAATGGCAAATAATTATGTAGAGTTTAAATTTACAATCTCAAGAGCTATAACTCAAGATTATTGTCTATTTTTTTATTCATTTCAATACAATGAAAAATAAT